AGTAGTAGTAGTGCAGTAGTAGCAGTAGTAGTAGTAGTAGTAGTAGTAGTAGTAGTATTAGTAGTAGTAGTAGTAGTAGTAGTAGTAGTAGTAGTGGTGGTGGTAGCAGTAGCAGTAGCAGTGGTAGTAGCATTAGCATTAGCAAGTAGCAGTAGCAGTAGGAGTTGGAGTAGGAGAAGGAGTAGGAGTAGGAGTAGGAGTAGGAGTAGGACTAGTAGTAGTAGTAGTCGTCGTCGTCGTCGTCGTAGTAGTAGTAGTAGTGGTAGTGGTAGTAGTAGTACTGATAGTAATAGTAGTAATGGTGGTAATGCTAGTGGTAGTGGTAGTGGTCATAGTGCTAGTGGTAGTGGTAGTGGTAGTCGTCGTCGTCGTCGTCGTAGTAGTAGTAGTAGTAGCAGTAGTAATAGTAGTAGTAAAGCGTGAGTGCACGATGATCCGCAGGCTCGGCAAAACGACCGGTCGTTTTGGTCATTCTGGTCTGGTCGCGCCGGGCAAAACAACCGGTCATCTTGGTCTGGGTTCTTTGTGGGGCAAAACGACCAGGTCACTTTGGCCCTTTTGTTCTGGCATTACAGGAGTGTCGTTTTGGTCAGTTTGGTCATCTTGCCGGCCAGGGGCATATACTACTTGTACCACTCGAACAACTTGCACCTCTTGCACCATTAACCCACTAAAATGACCAACATGAACCACCCCTGCCCCTCCCCAAGTGGTGCAAGTGGAACAAATGGGACAAGTGGCACAAGTGGTGCAAATGGTACCAGTGGTCCCAAATGACGGTCCTTTTGCACCCTGGTGCACAAAAAAAATCCGAAAACTTCAATCATTTTGCCCCAATCCCAAACGACCAAACTGACCCAAACGACAAACAAAAACAAAATGACTAACATGATGAAAACGACTCGTATGAAAAGCGGGGGGCTTGTATTGTTAGTATACTGCAGTAGTAGTAGTCGTCGTCGTCGTCGTCGTCGTAGTAGTAGTAGTAGGTGTAATAGTAGCTACACTAATAGTAGCAGCTGGAAAAGGAAGCTGAGTGGTGGTGGAAGTAGAAGTCGAAGCAAAAATAAAAGCCGCTAGATCACCCCAGAGCGCAATGCAATCTGTTGGACTCTGGTGGGAGTTTCCGAAAACCGAACAAGTCTGATCAAGATCCCAAAGGATCTGTTTTGTAGGGATACCTCTAACTAAGGTTCCCCCCCAGGGTTTGCACAACCCTGTGCCTCGGCTGGCTCAGGCGTCCTGGCCTCCTCCCGGCTTTCTTTGATTCTTGAAAGGTGCAGAAAATCATGGGTGCTTCTGAGAACGATCTTACACTTATGCTCCAGATTGGAATCCCCTAGTTTGTGCAAGTTCAATAAAGGTGGGAAGGCAAGCTATGGAAAGAACCGGCGCGCAATAGCCACAATAACGAATAATGATGCCGCCAACAGTTACAGTTTTTTCGCAATCAGAGCAGTTCGGATCACACCACGGAAAATCACTAGTAGCGCTGGCCAAAGGATCTGGATCAGCGCCAATACGTGTCTTCGTGGTACGAATGGTCTAATTACCCACATGGGTCAGAACGTCAGAGCGCTCCATTGCTCAATGTATGTCGTGATGATGAGTCAGGGCGGACTGCATGACTGCACGACCCAGATTGCATGAGTTGGGTTTAGACAACTGTCTGTTGCATCGTGGAACGAGGAAAATGCATGCACAGCTTTCGCACCAAAACCACAAGCCCCGCAAATGACAACAACTTCAAAGACCCTACCTTAAACCCTTAGATCGTAAACCTCTAATGACCCCCGGCTCAAACCTCTCCACCCTCCTGCGTCCTAAACCTCGAAGGGATTCTCAAATGCCTAAACCATGTACTTCCTAAATCCTCAACTCTGAACTTTCCCCTCAACCCCTCAAGTCCTGATCTCCACACCCCGAGAACCTCAAACCAAAAGGCCTCCAATCTCCTAGACTGCAACCACGAGCCATGGGCCCTACTGAAGCCCCAAATAGAGCCTTAGACAACCTTCATACTACCCCTTTAGAGCCTGTAGAGCCCCAAATAAACTTTATAGCCTTATAGGCTTATGACCCTAGAGAAACCTTATGGCACCTTGTATGTAAAGTCAAAAACCCTTGCAGAACCCTCACGAAATCCTGATAGAATTTTCATACTATACACGGCTGAAGAATTAGTCCTCGCATCCCGTGGTAGACTTGAATTATACGCCCACATGCCATTCAACATGCCCCCATGTACCCTCGAACAATTAAGAGTCTGCTTTCCTTTGTAAAAAACAGCCAAGGCCTCCAGAAGCGACTTGGCGGCGCGCTGCGCTGCCGCCAGTACCTGCCATCCAGAAACACTCGCGTTTAGGAGTTTAGGGGGCTTGTGCTGTTTCTTTGCGACTTTCGCTTCATGAAACCCCAAAGACAGGAAACCTGTTGGGTTTTGTAGGGCTGTTGTCTGTTCTGTTGTATGGACTTGAAGTCTTTAAGACACGGTCTTTGTTAGAAGAAACCGGGCCGAGGCTCTCCGCCCGAGATACGCTGCGCCGCCCGACGGCTCGAGGCCTGGAAGTGAGAGCGATGGCTCGAAGCATGAAAGCGTGTACTTAAATCTTAGGAAGTCCCATTCGTTCACTGAGGACGGGTTCTTGATCCTCTAAGTCTACCCTTAGAGATCCCGTAGAGCCCTCTCTTCTCGCGTCTTGGCGCCTCCGGGGTGACCGGCTCTGCCTGGGTGCGATCGCTGTCCTCAGTGCGTTTGAGCGCTTATCAGGTTTAGGTTGATGTTTAACGGTTCGTCTGGGCCATGTAGGGCTTTCAGGGTTTAGGATTCGAGGTTTCAGGCCTTTGGTGTCTTGGGCGTTAAGTTCTGAAGTTGCTGAAGGATTCTTCGGCGCGGGATTGTAGGGGCCGGTTACGCAACAGAAGCCCCAAAACACCCTAAATCCAAAAGCCGCAAAAATCCCCGAGCCCTACACCCAGATCCTGAAGCCCTGAACACTAGACTCTCTAGTCAACGTAAGGAGGGTTCCTTTTACGAAGCGCTGCGCTGAACAACTACATCCTACGCGAAATGAAGCCATCAAAGATCACAAGCTTTGCTCGCTTTCAGGAGACGAAACTCGCTTTCAGGAGACGAAAACCCACGCCAAAATTCGAAGGGTGTAAGCAGGATAACTAGTGCCCCATGCACCGTAACCGTCCCTTTTAAGGGGAAGTGTCCTCGAAGGTCTCTGTGAGAATCGAAGATAAGAGCCGGCCACCTTTCACGCCTGCGCCACGCAAAAAGCTCTCGCCGCATGTTCGAATCTCGGGGCTTTTCGGCGGTGTTTCCGACATTTCGAGATTGTTAAGGTTCTGCGATGTACCGGGGATTTGGGGAATCCCTGCATAGAACGGTCTTTGGGGTTAGGGATTCAGGGTTTTGAGCTTGGGATCTATCACTAAAGGCCTGTATGAGCAGTACATAGGCGAGATGAAAGGATCCTAGTTCAAGTGACGCAGAGTGGGTTGAAGGGCCTAGGGCTTCGGAATCAGCGTTCAGGGTCTTGATAGCATTATTACAGGTAAGCGACTCTTCGGGAGCTGCCCAATCACCAAAAACCGACACCCGAAAGGAACCTGAGGCACTTCGCTCCCGAAGACGGCTCTGCGCTAGCTCGTCGATGCGCTGCCCGAGCCTTCGGCCGGCTTGGTTGCCAGGATGCTTCCGTGTTTGGTAAATGATATGGGCTGACTAGGAAAAAGCCTTGATAGTTCGGAATAGCAAATTCGATGAATTTCTGTCGAGAAACCACGCCTGGACGGGCTTTTTGGGGAAAGACAGCACACATGGTACCTTTCCACTGTACACTGTGAAAGTGCGACTTCCGAGTTCAGTTAACTCCAATCAACCGTCTTCAGTGCCCGCAGACTGGCAAACCCTCTGCCTCCCTGTTGTCGGCCCAGCCTTTGATCCGTGATCCAGAGCTGCTCGTCAAGCGCGGCCAGAGCAGCGGACCTATGTGTGGCAGATACGGAGGTTCAGAGTTTTGGATGTTAGGGCTGTGCTGCATGGCTTTGGGGTTCTTAAGAAGTGTGTAGGATTTTCTTTGGAGTGCAAGAGGGCGTGTGCTCGCGCTCAGGATGGTTGGGTGCAGGGGACTGTGAGGCAGGCGGTTGTACAAGAATGGCCCATCGACGGAAGAAGAACCGCAGGCTTGCTTCTTGAGCGGGTTATGTATTGAGGGAACGTTAGGAGTTCAGTGGAGTCTGAGTACCCCGAAGAAGGCCACAACACCTCATCCACCCAAGACAAAACAATGCCGTGGTATGTATGTACATCGCAAGAACAAGCCTGAACCCCAGAGCTCCACTGCCTGCAGCCTACCGTAAGCGCAGGGTCCTTTTTGCAAGGACCCGGACACCTCTCGTGACTTTGAACCCTCAACACTCAAGTAGGTCTCCGGCTCACGATTTAATGCCGCGGTGGTTTCCGCCTGAGGGTGGGGATTCAGCCGCGAAGCAGTTCACAAAGCTGCTGCTTGAATTTTACGACTTCTTCGAGAAGCACCGTAGAAGCTTGGAGCTCGGGTGATCAAGTCACAGGGGGCAGCTTTTATGAGCCACAAACCTGCTCTGGGCAAAAGGCCAGCTGAGGCGGCTCACTGCTAAGTATGAGCAAGAACAGCCATCCAGGAGCGAGTGCACTCTCCCACGAAATTATGCTGCAGAACCTGAACTTCAAGCCCCCAAATTCAGGAACCCCGTCCCAAAGCAAGGGAACTTCCGAAGCGATTCTTTCTCAATCTTCGGATCGGCGCAGGATTTGGGACTTCGGGATCCATTCGGAGTCGCCCTGGCTGCGTGGTTCCTCCGCTGCCCTTGCTGCTGTTCCGGCTTCACCAACACCAACAGTAAAAAGCCTTTTCAGACATTTCTTGTTTTTTGCACATCACCAGCAGGAGAGGAGCCGTCACCAGCCTGCGCTCGCAGCCGAGGAGTTGCAGGCTGGTGAAGGGTCCGTGGGCTTAGGAATTGAGAAAACATTTGCCAACCCACAGTGACAGCAGCAAAACTGAGAATGGCACCGTTTGGCCCTGAACCCTCTCCAAAAAATCTTCGAAAATACGAGACTCGCAAACCATGGAATATCCTAGCAGCGATCATGACATGGCTATGGTAATCATGAAGCAAGGATAAGAACCGGGCCCGCAGTTCGGCGACCAGTCGTTGCTGCAGCGCCACGACGTCCTCGCTGAGCCGGACCTGGAAACTGGTTTTGGATTTGAGGGTTTAGCTCCTTGAGGGGTAGTCTTCCATTGCAGGGGTTGGGGATTACGGTAACTCGGTTACTCCTTTCGGCTCTGCTTCTTCTTTCTCAGGGTCGTCTACGCTTGTGGCACCGCTGCTAACATTGGGATTCTTGGAAACGACTTCTTTCGCAAGACAATCCAAAAACAAGCGAATGGATAATGTTGAAACGCTGACTTTGAAGAGACAGGCGTTGTCAAGGCCAGGTGAACATTGTCAAAGTGGTTAAAAGGCCGGGAAATCAGTCTTCCGAAGCTAAATCTTTAGTGACCTCCAGAAGAAAAGGAATTGCAATCAACAGGGAACTAACAAGGAAGCAGAAAACGACAGTGGAAAGGACACGCCACACATAGGAAGGTGCATGGATAGTGATGATCAGCGAAAGGATGACACCACGGGACGTCAAAGAAAGTGGAAAACAACGAGACAACACAAGCTCAAAGGAACTCAGTCACCAACTTACGGGTTTACATGTGCTTCATGTTGTGCTTTGTTTGTTCGTATGTTTAGTCTCTCCGTTTGTGTGTTGTGTGGTTCGCGCTCATCGTGTTTGCTTGCTCCGGCATGGCTTCTTGTTTTGCATGTGTTTACATGTCGCTGTTCGCTTCCACTTTCAGGTGCCCTAGGTTTATTTTGCTTCCCTTTTCTGGTTCCGTGTTCTTGCTCATGTGGACGCTTGTTCTGCATTGCTCTTACTTTTATTTGGGAATGAATTTGTTGCCCTGCTTCCCAGAACTGGCTCATCACCGGCTGCAAAAGTCGAGGTTTCCGGCTCCAGACAGCCCTTGACGGATTCTTTCTGCGAGGTCTAGGGCTGTAGGGCTTTCGGGGCTTGGGGCGGCTTGGTCTATGAGTCTATTCGAGTATTCATGCACTTCCTTCACGAGGTGGAAACAATGCGGTTCTACATGATGTTGAGTAAACAAGCGACAGCAACCTTCAAACCCTAAAGCATCTCGAATTCGCCACAAGCCCCGAAGGCCTTTGTGGCTTCAAATGTTCTGGAGTCCCGAGGTCTTCGGTTTCGTCTTCAGGTTTTACTGCCTACAGTTCACGGTCTCTGGCTTTGGGCGTTTGGGACTCAAAACCTTTGGCGAGCGCCCGACCTGCGCTTCCTGGACGCAGCTCTTTGCATCCTGCAGAATGGAAAGCTCAACTTCGGTGCCATTTGGGGCTCTGTGAGGATGCATGCATGACCTCGACGAGCTTCCTACACCCCTACATTATATGGAGCAATTACGGTGAAGCTAAGCGAAACGGCCACGGTGAACTGCTCGCTCGCCGCTGCTGTTTGTCTGCATGGGAGTTGGGAAGCGGATTGGTTGGTAACTTGCAGGTTTCTCGCAACTCACTGGGCGAAGAGTCGCGCCAGAGACCGTTCAACAGATGCCGACCCATCATGCTTTTCGGTTCCTCAACGACGGAGAACACTCTTGTGCACAAAGCCACAAAGCCTACTCAGAAAGGGAAATCAAGTAAAAACAGGCGATATTGACGATAGGTGGTGCAACTTTACTGACCTAGTGGCTTCGGTCTTTTATGTCGGAGAAGGAAATGTTGTGGAGCGAAGCGAACTTAGTCAACGGGTACACATGCAGGCAAAACAGGCTGCCTGAAAACAATCAACACAAGAATCAGATAGATGTGCAGAAGCAACGCAACAAGAACAGTCAGAGACGGAAGCAATGTATACACTATGATGGCTGCAACATGCCTGAGCAGCATCATCAACCTCATCATCGTCACGTGAGCAGAATAGACAACGAACCAAGCCAGAAGAAAGAGCAGCAGCAACCGCAGCAGTAACACTGACCACGTAACTGGCCTGATGGCACTCCTGGCGCAAGACCTCCAGACGGCTTTGGACCAAAGTCTCCAATTTGTCCTGGCGCGCGATTTCAAGGGGTGGCATTAGGCCTCGAGTGCTCAGGCCGGGGTCGAAAGTCCCGCGAGACCAGCCGCAAAAGGCGCTGCTGTGGACCCGTCATAGACCTGTTCTTGCTTACCCCCCCGGCGCCCTCCTCAATCTGGTTCCGCAGATCCGCCAACCGGGACCTCGGCCAATCGGGCTTGCCTTCGAGCTTCCAGCAGCCCGCACTCCTTCACGCATCCTAGGAAGCTTGAAATGAATGATGTGCGAGATACTCCTGATTCTTAACCCATGCGCAAAGCACCATCACTTCAAACCGAAAGCATTACTTGACGAGCGAGTGCAAAAGTTTGAACAAAAGCGGATCGAAGAGCCACTTCCTATGTCATGAGTCGCATGGCTGGCACGTAGAAGCTATCGGAAGTATCGATGTCCCGGGTAAGTTGATGACACGGAACATGGCATACCTTGTCTGCACCATGGTGCAATTTGGACGCACGACTGAATAGATTGTTTGCGATTGGTCTGATGGAAAGGTTTGCTTCCGAAACAGAACCTTGTCTGTGAGAGACTTCCTGCAGCCGCTGCACCGCCAGAGACACGTGTCGATAGCTTCAGCTTCCGACCTGAGACCTCGCTGCACACAGCAGCAATCATGCTTACGAGCATACAGTATCTAGATAACGAAGATCAAAATGCGAAACGTCCGAACACAACACTCATCATCAACGCTGCCATCGTCACCATGATCATCGTCTTCACGTGCCTAAAACTTAATGAACACGGACATATGCAGAACACGTGAACAAACTACCAACCACAAGAAACTACGTAATGCTAGCGCACCGAAAGCAACGTCGCAAGAGAAGATAATGGCTGTTTGCCAGGTAAGAAAGCAAGTCCTAACTGGTCCTATTGGGACCCCGCTCTGCACTGCCAACCAGCTCCTTTTCGTAGACCGAGAATCACAAATCCAATCAGCACAAGCTCTACTCTAGAGCCTGAGGCTGCATTTTAAGCCAGTGGCTCGAAGAGGTCCAAAGTCCCGCGGTTGCGTGACTGCAGCGCGGTTCCGGAATATAGTGTTCGAGGCTTAGGACTCGCTTCTTCGACCCCTGACGCCTCGACCAACACTCCAGCAAGATGGACGAATTAGACGCTTCTCTCGTGCTTCCAGAACAGCAGTGTCTGCAACTCCTTCTACCCCATCACAGATTCTGTCACTAACGGTACTGCCGCTATCTGGCTTGACATAGGATGACGATGAAGATGAGAGCGACTGCGACCAATTACTAAGGTGACTAAGGCGGTGCCGGCGACAACAACCACGACAAGGACGATGGAGTATGAGATGGAGAAGAGGCATTTGTTACAGTAAGTGAGAGGGACACTGATGATGTAAGGGCGATGCCTGTGCAAAGCAAATCGACAGTGATGGCTTTGGCAACAGTGTGATGGCAATGGTAGCAATCGTGATAATGATGGCGTTTCCAAGCGCCATGATTTCTACCATCATGCCAAAATTCTGCCACGACGAGCAGGGCCTCTCAAGCACGAGGTACGGTCACCATATCACCTTCAATCCAAGCTCAAGCCTTGAGCCTTGAGGCTGTCCCACACCCATGCCCGGCTCCTCAGCACGAACCCCGCAATACTCCGCGCCAGGCCCTACGCCGTGAAGTCAAAAAGACAGACACCGCTTGACACCAACATCGGAACAAAACCCAAACTGCTGAACCCCAGAATTGAGGACTCATTCGGGTCTGTGTAGCTTCAATATGGTGTTGGGCGATATTGAAGCAGCTTACACAGGCCTGTTTGGTGGATTGCATTATTGAAGAATCAAACTTGTCTAGTAGAAGGCAAGCCTCCACGAGCCCCTCAAGCTCGACCTTCACCGCGCGAAGGCGGGCCCTGCAAGCTTCCAAGGCTTGAAGCTTTCGTGTCTCCAGGATTTTAACAGCTTAGTATCTGGGGATTCAAGGGATCAGAATTATGGCAAGGTTAGGGTCTTGGGACTTAGGGATGTAGAGATTAAAAGGGGTTGTGGCCTAGGGCTTCTGGCTTGGAGCTTAAGGCTTGGGGGGTTTTGTAGAGCCTCGCCGACGATTCTAATCCCTCGATAATCGCTCCTAAACCTAGCCCTTGTCGCCAAACGCTCAAATCTACAGAAATTGCTCTGCTTGGATTTATGAGGCTCTGTATACCCTTGAGCGAAGCCCGTATGTCATCCCGTCCGGGACCCATTGCTGAGTGCCGCAGGCTTGGGGTGAAAACAGTGTGAAGGATTTGGGTATAAGGCTGGTGGCGCGCGATATCTTTATCGATCATAGTCGGAAGGTCGTTGATGTCCCCTTGTGCGGGACATAGCTAGGTTTACCTCCTGCTTCGGGTGAATGCTCATCAGAGCAAACTCCGCCCAATGCTCTCCATCCCCGCTTGGAAAACGAATCGAGTCGCCTTGCTGCCCGCTCATCCGCGAACAAAGTCGTGATGTCGAAAACAAACTTGTGCTGTTAGTAAGCATGATGGCGGTACGAAGAATTACGAGGGTGGTAGTCGGAAAGTCTGAACTTTCAACAGAGGTCGTGGTTGATTGAACAGTTGAAAGGTGAAGGACTCTCGAGTCCCGAATTAAGCCGGCACTCATGGTCATTAGCCACAACGTCTCAAAGTCTAAGCAAGCCAGACTCCAAGAACCCTGCTCCAGATCGCGGTCGCGTACTCCACTGGGCAAATCCCGTAGGCGGGCCTAGAAGAAGGACCCAGGACAGTCCGGTGGGCTGCTGGGGAGAATGTGATCCGTGGCCGGGAGGCTCAAACATTAAAAATCCTAGAGCCTCAGGCCCGAAAGCCCACCAGAAACCCTTCACTATTACAATTTAAGGATCAGAGTTTAGTTTGAGTTAGTCGGAGCTTCTGCAGGGATTGATGGGCGCACATAGCTTGAGGTTGGATAGCTCGGTGCAGGGAGTAAGTTCATGCTGAGGTGCGTCAGATTGAAGCTTCAGTCAGTTCGAAACGCAGGATTCTTGACAACACACTCCTGACACTTATGGCTTGCAGGAATACCACGGGCTCGGCCAGTAGCGCTTGGGAACGAATAACCCCGGCTGAGCGCAAGGCGGCCTGTGATTCGACGCGTCCCTGCCAAGCACACTGTGATACCCTGAAAAGGAGCACGAATGATAGTCAGGACGTGTAAACTGATGACAGCGACGGTAACCAGCATCAACATCATGTTGGCCAGTGGTGATGATGATGATGATGATGACGATGATGCCGACAATGATGGGAAGATGGTGTGATCATTGGAGATGATGCTGCCGATAGTGATTTTAGAAGTGCAGGTGGAGGAGGAGAGGAGGAGAAATTCAAACGGAGAAACAACATGGACAAGAAGACGAGTAGCAGTGAAAGCAGGCTTCAATAACATAACAGAACAGCGCCATCCCGCGGATTCAACCACTTGCACTCAAAAAAAATCATTACGATGCCAGAGTTAAAGAGCACGCATACTGCCGCACACTCCTATCCAACACTGTGGTTACGAGTACCATCGATGAAGCCGAGCCAGACCTCTAGGTCCGTCCTCTGCGCTGTCAGCTTGGACCTGAGGCAAAGTCGGGAAGACACAAACTTGAGAGTTTGCACTTGGGGCTTTCTTGTCAGGAACCTAGGATTTAGGGATGAGGGCCTGCAGGCTTCCAAGTTTATGGTGTCGGGCAACAGCCTAAAAATGTGAAACCAGCCTGGATCTCAATGTGTTATGGACCGAAAGCACGCAATCGGGAACCAAGAAGAATAACGATCATCAGATGCTTACTGAAACACCTCCAAGAACTGCAACGACAGGAACAGTCGGCGCGCGGCGGAGCGCGAAAAACCTTAACAAGCTGCCTACGGCAGAAGCACGGCTTTTTTGGGCGAGCGGGCTCGCTGTGCTCCTGGCCTGGCTCTCCATCGCAGTAACACTTTTTTCGGTGGGTGCATCGAGGTATCTGAATAACTTATATATATATATATATATATAGATATATATAATTATGTGTGTGTCTGTGTACACAGGTCTACTGGCGTTTTCCAGCAGCAGCAGCAGCAGCACCACCACCACTTGATACTCGTTTAACTCTGCTGATTGTTACTGTCTCTGATCGTGAAACTGGCTGTTTTCTCCATCCCACATGATGTGTATAATATATACCTATATACAGTTATTGATCGAGGCCAGCCTCGTTGTCATCTGCAGCTGTGCGTAGGGACTTGTAGGCCGCCCACGGGACATCTCCGGAGCCAGGCCATTTCAACTCTTATCAGTTGCGGACTGTTTTCAGCTGCAACGGCAGACAGCAGGCGGCTTCAGGGGCATAAAGCCACGCTTGTCCTTCTGGGTTGAGGAATTTACCGACTTCCCCGGTGATTCTACATTCCAGTTTCAGGGGTGCAGAACGACATGTTCAAATGCAGTGGGTAGACTCTAACCTGAGAAAGCGAGACCCAGAAATCGAACAACGCAGTAGCTTGGACTCCAAACGTTGCAATTCTGGTTGAGGAAAATACGATACACCCTGGCAGCCGCTCTGCTGACTTAACTGAATTGTGGAATTGGTGCCAAGCTGACACCAGCCTGGCGGAAGATGTTCCCCTATCGGATCACATGTCTGTAGAGGCCCTCAGCTTCAAGACCCAAACTTAATCAAGCTGACATCACACAAGACCGAGATTGGGCCCGAACTTAAGCTCCTAAATTGGCTCTGGAAGTCCGACTAAGCCTCAGCTGAAGCCTCTGAAGACGCTTCCGTTCTGGTCTGGGTCCGGTCTTCAAACGGCAAGACAACAGGCGCCACGGTTCTTTGGGCTTGCTCATCCAGCGGCTCTCGATCTAAGGGCTTGGCAGCTTAGCTGTAGGGTTCAAGGCAGGGTTTGGGATTTTAAGGTGGAGGCTTAGGGCTTAGGGCTGGAGCTTGGCGGCAGTGGTCCAACAGAGACTCCGTGCTATCTGGCCCGGCCTTTGTCTTCATCCTGCCCATGAGCCCATCAGTAGTTACAGGTCCCACCCCCACATGCACACGACTGTCAGTGTTGAAGCTGCCGTGATGCTTGAAGCCACGAACTACATATCGTAAGACACGTATCAGTAAGGAGCCCTTCAAAAGACCCTCGTGCAAAAACAAACAAGCGCTGCCCGCAAGGCAGAGACTGGAATGGAGCAAGTCGCCGGGCAAAAGCCTGCTCTGTGAAGGTGCACGAGGCCCAGCTTCAAGCCGTGTAGGGAAGACACGAGTACGTTCAGGGATCTTTCAAGCTTTCCATGTGTTTCGACTGCAAAGACAAGGCACCATGTCGGAGGTGGCTGTTCCAGTGAACACTGGTATCTGCAGCACTAGCACTCTGCAACCGCCACGACCCTCAACACAAACCACGGCGGCCAAGGCTGTGTGCGATGGCGATGATCATGCACAGGCGGCACATGCTCAACAGGAATGCTTGAAGGGTTCAATGCTAAGCCACAAGAAAAGCGAGGTGTATCTTCACGATGCTTTCAAAGCAACAGCTACCCAACTGAAACCAGTCTCGACCTTCAAACCCCTCCTGGGAAGCCCAAGCTGGATTTTGGACACTACAACAAGGACCCTACCCACAGTCGAGCTGAAAAAAGACAGCTTTGTCACTACTTGCTGCAATTCCTCTTCTGAGCTTGTAAGTTGAGAGTCTTGTGTTTTCTCTGAACAGCACTGCTTCTTTCTATCCATTGGGAATATCTGAGATCTTATGAGGGCAGACTGGGCCGTTCTTCTGGCGCTTCGTCACGACTCTGCGCCCAACATCGGAGATTGCGGATGCCGGGTGCTCCCTCGAGCATCGGAGGTCACTCGCCGTACTCTGATTACCTGTCGTTCATCCTCTTTTCAAGGTAGTGGCACCATTCTCCCATTTCACATCTACGTTCACTTCTCGCCGTATTGGGCAGTGTATTAGACAACTTGGGTGGGCGTCTGCTGCTCGGCCCAAAACGGCACTGAAACCGGATTTATGCTTCTTCGAAAGAATGGAACCTTACCGGTCCCACAGAGTCTTACAACCCTAGATTGAGTTGCACACACTTTCAGCGGCACATGTCCATGACCGTTCCAAGCGCCGGCTAATTAGATCGTACTGATCATAGACATACGAAGTTGGGATCCCGAGCTAGAAACACATGAAACCACAACCGGAAAGACTGTTGCGGGAGGGCTGGCATCATAATTGTCATGACGTAAATCATTTAGACAGGCTGTCACCAATGCTGCTGCCAATCCTTATCAGTATGAATTCAATCGCGGTTGCAACCCTCGTGATTACCGTCATTGCTGCCTTACACTTACATCACTACGATCATTACAACTGATGGAGCAAAACTGCATTACCAGTATGACACTTATGCTAAACCCTAGGCTGTCTTGGTAGTGCAGGATTGTGTGAGGTTGCAACACTTTACGTTTAAAGGTGCGTTTTTGCGCCAACCACGAACAGTACAATAGTTGCCACTGGCTGTGGCTCTCCGACCGAGGGAGGGGAAACGGCGCCGGTCACCGCACCGGCAGTCTGTCGACTGCAAAATTCCGGGGGACTTGGGGTTTAGGGCGTTTTCGACTTCAGGCCTGGTTGAGGGATCTAGGACTTGCTTACGGGCTGGAGTCGTTCCTCTCGGGGCCCCAGGTGCATGAGCTTAAGCTTGCAGGCTCCAGGATTTATAGGCCTCGGGTCTAAGGTCAAAAAGAATCCCTGCCCTTACATTGGCATCCAAGTCTTTTCGCAAGTCTCAATGACAGCTATCCCCAAGTTCTAGGATTCTAGGATCAACTAACATGTTCTGAACCCCGCGTGCACTCAACATAAAACAGATCTACCAAACCAAATTCCGTGCGAGGCCTGCCAACTGAGCGCCAGAACTCCGCGGGGAAACAGCTAACAGCATCCAGGATTTGACCATATGAGAGCGAAACAGGATGCAATTTTCCCAGCAGTCATAGCTGCTAGAACTCAACTTTAACTTTGAATGCGTCCCGACGAGGACGACTTTCCGTACTCGCACTGCGCTTGCTTGCATATGCTTGCATGTGCTCGCTTGCTTGCATGTTTGCTTGTATGCATGCATGCATGCATGCATGCATGCTTGCTTGCTTGCTTTCTCACCAACAAACCAGAAAACTAACTCTCCAACTAGGCAAACTAACTAGCTAGCTAGCCAGCTAGGTAGCTGGATACCTACTTAACTCACTCACTCACTTACTGCTGATGCAACTACTGCTCTACTGCTGCTACTGCTGCAGATACTGCTGCTGCAGATACTGCTGCAGCTGCTACTGCTACTGCTACTGCTGCCGCTATTACTGCTAGTGCTACTGTTACTGCTACAGCCGCTACATGTACTGCGACTGCTACGGCTACTGCTACTACTAGTTACTACTAC